AATTGGACTCCATACGGTCCTATTACCATTATTAATACATATATTTTTTGATGTCTAGCTCGATGAACTTCAACTTTTTCAAGCGAATCTACAAAATTAAAAAAAGCTGAATATCATATGATTAAATATGATTAAATTTCTTCAGTTTCCCGTTGATAGGAGACAGAAAGATATTGAAATAATGCCTCGTAAAGATTAATTCGCCACTGAATACCTACCCTCCGTTCCACAAATCTTGGGGTCCTATGGAGTTTTGGAGAGAAAAATAGAAAAATTGTTACTCTTTTTAACGAAGATTTTTCGTTCCCTTTGACTCTAACATGATTTCACGTCTTCAAAAGACTGAAAGCTTTATCCTCGACTTCTTCATCATTGATGGTTAAGCTATCTGTAACTGATTTATAAGGCATACATTGTTTAAAAAATATCTAAATTGTAATGGTTTACTTCACTCTGCTCTGCGATTGTTCTAAAATAACTCCCCAACCAATCAGATGCAAAACTAAAATCAATGGCGGCTCGAATGAATTGTGTTTTCTTGCTTTAGAGGCAATTTGCCTGTTTTTGTTTTGAACTCTAGGTGACTCCATTTCATATGAATACAAAATTATCCTTTTTCCTGATTAGCCTCTGTTATAACATGTATTACAGCTTTTGTCTTACGACATTCAATCAAAGGGCACGCTTTAAGTTACTTACTTTGACCATCTTCTTTGTCTTGGATAATTTTTTTCCGCAGAGCCACAATTGCAATTAACATTAAAATTATGATGCCCACTACTATTAAAATGATGAATTCAATTTTCCACGAGGAATCGACGTCTATTTGTCCGCTGCTGGAGAATGGAGTCAGTGTAGTCTCAGTCTCTGTCGAATGAAATTTAAAACAGTTAACATCTGGGAAATGGGGTGAAGTTTTGATTGGTTCACTAGATTGGCATGTCCATGGTTTTGAGCCAAACCGCGGTCATTACTTTGTGCCTCTTCCCCTCCCCAGCTTTATGCTCTTGGCCAAGAAGATTCAGTCACGTAGTCTCTCTCTACATTCACCTACAAAACAACCCAATTTCTGGGCTTTAAAGTCATTCATGTTTATGTGGCATTTTGTCTACGATAACCATGAAACTTTCAGGTACACAATTACGCCTATGAGCAAAATTGAGTCTAATGGCAGCCACCATGTACCTGCAAACTTTTATGTGACCTATTGACCGAAAATAAACTGACTAAGAAGAAACATATAGGGCAGTAATGATGATTTTTTTTTAACCATTTTCTTACCTGTCGGAACCATGTTTTCTGTTGGAACTGTTTCGCGAGATATGACGTGATATCCTTGTGAAACTTTGTTTTCAAAGTCGGTGGATATGTTCAGCATTTTGTCTCTGTCCAACATACTGTCTCCACATTTGTTCCAAGCTTTCACCACGAACGAGTAAGATGTATTATCCTCAAGTCCAAAGTGAAATATGTTTCTTGTAACATTTTCCAGTTGCCATGATTCTTCACTATCACGTTTTTGCCAAACTGTATACGTCATCTGCAGCTCTCCTTCACTTTCAACTGCTGACCATCGTAGCGTCCAGTTGGGACTGGTCACTATTTTGTCTGAATTCAGTATAGTTGGGCTTTCCGGAAGTACTGTTTCAAGCAGGAAAATTAGTTTTTTAAGAGGAATTCCAGGGGAAATAGAATGAAGGGCAACGGTCAAAGGTGTATTCATTAGCTCGTCAGGTAATCCATGAGAAGGAATTTTAGGATCCATATTTGAGCATTGAACGCAATGCAAAACTGACATAACAAGAATGATTTATGGGGAAATTCTTTAACTATCTATGTGATCTGCTAGAAGGACCAACGAGACCAGTGGTAGTCGGTTTGCCTTGCGTTAAAGGGGGTAAGTTCCTAAAGAAATTGTAGTGCTGCGTCAGTTAGGGATTTGACAATATAATTTGGTTTCATCAATTGAGTTGATAATGCCGTATAAATTGGACATCGTATAAGGAGTTTCTGAAGCTGACCTTTCGAGAGTCAGAACGAAGGGCTCTGACGAAGGGCTAACGCTCGGAGCTTCATCCTAAGGTGATTCCTCAGTATTGCACTGCGCATCCTGTATTGCGCATAAGAATCATGTAATTAGGGGAATGAGCGCGCGCGCATTCCGAGAACACGGTATATT